CATTGCATCGTGACAAACTTTAATGAAGTTACATGTATTTAACACTACTGTCACTGATCAAGGTCGTACAACGAAGCTCCCCCCCCCGCTTCCGGTACTTCGACACATAGCCACTTCACACTGCCGCCACTTCTCCCCATTTCCACTTCGCTCCGTCCTTGTTACAGCTTTAAACGTGGGGAGAGGGGTTCCCAAAACGGCACAGAAAACTTTATGGCCTTCACTAACTGTTGACTACATGTATGCTGTCCATGGTGAATTAATACTGTACAGTGTAGTTGGACTTACATGTACATGTATACATCAGGTTTATTTCTCATCCTCTTTACTTCAAATCAATACAAAATTCTGTATATAATATTTAGATCATTCTCATAAATATCACAGTCATCCAGTACATCAAGTCATCTATGGGAAGAATGTAAAAGATGCATCTGCCATTTTTGAGGCTGTTTCTGACACGTTTTTGACATCATATTCTCATGCCAGCACTAAATATAGATTCATAATGAATGGTTCAGCTGCTTATTTCTACAAGTACACAGACGTGACATTTCTAAGGTTGCATCCCGAAGCCATAGAGTATTGGAAGGAAGTGGTTACATTGATTGGAGTTTGAATTGCCTTGCACTTCCACTTCAATTTCGATGGATGTACAGTGTACAGTGTAAGAGGCACATGAAATACATATGGCCAGTATTACGTGAAGATGCGAATTTTGAAAAGTTATGCGATTCTTATTGGGGTACCCTTACCGAAATAAGGTTGGATTCAAACCAAAAATGAACATTTCCTCAAGTCTCCTCCTCTACTTTTTAATGCTCTCATTTGGGACATTTGGGTGTTTGAATTACTTTTGTGTGATAAACCTCTCAAAAACAGAACTAGGTATTTAAAAAACGAAAAGAAAAAACGAAAATGGCACAATCTCCACTTCATCTCCAGCAGTTATTTAATTCTGGTGTGTTAAAAGTTTACAGATTGAACTACGATGATAAATACATCACAGGCAACCTGTGGTCAAAAATAGGCCATACCATAGAGTAAGGAATAGAAACATTTGCCTTAGCAAGTTGTTTGAATCGGAACCTACATGTGTACATGTAGGCTCTGACTAGGCTGGGTACTCAAACTATTGAAATTTTTATTTGTTGCATATACATGTACATTTGTACCTCTGTTAAAGCTAAAAGAAAAGAATGAACGATAATCAGTGGGGCAAAGTGGGAATGGGGCGAAGTGGGGATGGGGCGAAGTGGGGATGGGGCGAAGTGGGGATGGGGCGAAG